CTTTTTATAAGACATTTCCTAATTTAATGCATTTAAAATGAAAGGGGGAGGAATGAATTTTAGAATTTGAGAAAATGCTACAATAAATTTTAATTATAAAGAACACATATATAATGTCCAACTTTTAAGAAAAAAGTTTTTTCCCCTTTTGATAAAGTTGCCCTTTTTATTTACTTTTTAATTTTTTTTAAGTTTTATTCATTTTGAGAGAGCGTGAGTGGGGGAGGGGCAAAGAGAGAGAATCCCAAGCAGGCTCTGCACAGTCAGAGCGCAGAGCTGAACATGGGGCTCAAACTCATGAACCATGAGATCATGACCTACGCCAAAACCAAGAGCCGGACACTCAACTGACTGAGCCACCCAGGCGCCCTTAACATTGGCCTTTTTAAGTACTGCTTTTGTTAAAAATTTTTACTTACCTAAAGTAAAAGTAAAGTCATTGAGGAACAAAAGTATGTAAATTTCCCTAAGAGTGATACTGCAAAAATGAAAAAAAAAAAAAAAAAAAAAAAAAAAAAAAAAAAAAAAAAAAAAAAAGAATAATGATAAGTATTTTATTTTATTAAGAGATATTTTAAAAACTACTCTTTTTGGTTTAACAAACTGATATGTATAAATTCCACCCAAACCTGTAAAATGATCATTCAGTTAACAAACACTATCACATACTTATTCTGGGCCAGACACTGTGCTAGATTCAGACACACCTCAGATATTAGTCACATCATTTCACAAAATTAAAGAGTTTAATATGGGACAATTAAAAAATAAACTTGACTTTTGTGTATTATGTTTCTCCTTAAGTTCTATTCATATATTCCTTCATTGATTCAGTAATAGTAATGCATAATTTTCCCACAAACTTCATCTTTCTATGTAGAGACAATGTTGGTAAAATATTCTTGTAATAAAGCATTTTCTTGCAAATGTAGACTTTCACTTGAACTCTTTATTCAAATCTCATTAACACTATATAAGTCCTTATGGGAGAGCTACAAATTTTTCATACAGATTTTTAACTCCAGCCTTTGTGAGATAGAGAAAATCTTTGCTGAGCTTCTTAGGAAAGGAAAAAAGTTGCCTTCAGTAACTTGGTATTTAAATCAAACCAAAAGTACCACCTTACTATGTCATTAACATGCAGGAACAGCCTGAAATATATGTATGTCACGTGTACTTTTTTTCTCTCTCCTTTACTGTGACATCACCTGGGGAAATCCAGAAGATTGGATAACCAAGAAATGCCTAATCAAGACTCTGCTGTGCATGTGAAAATGGTGGGTATTTGAGTATTCCCAGTTCCATTTATTAATGGTGAATCTTCACCACTTTTACCTCTGTCTCTAACCAGATCATTAATTATGGGACTGTAACTTTATCCAGATCTCCCTTCACAATGTTTCACACACAATAGAACCTCAAGTATTTGTTGAATTGAATTTCACCTTACCTTTGAAAAAATTGAAAAAATTTTTGCTTGAAATATAATGTGTATTGTAGTGTTTCTCAGCATATGAAATGGTTACCCCATTCCTTTTTGTTGTAAATTTTCCTTGCTCAGCAAAAACACACTTAAATCACACAGCATGAGTTGTTGTATATTCAGCATCTGAATTAAAACAACAAATGTTTAAATTAAAAAAAAAAAACTTCTTGTGTCACAGTAGAGTTCATTGCATTGTAGACATTAGGAAAAGGAAGAAAAAATAAAGGTTTTGGAGTCAGAGCTGGCTTCAGATCTTAATGTAGTCCATAAGAGCTGTGATACCCTTGAATGAGGGCAACAGTCTCACCTTTAAGAAATGGTATGAAACCACCAAACTCTTGTTGATTTATTCATATTCTTTCCCAGCTTTATTGAGATACAATAGACATATATAATTGTGAGATATTTAAAGTATACAATGTGATGATTTGAGATCTGATATACATTGTGAACCCATCTCGTTAATACATCTATCACCTCACATATTTACCTTTTTGGGGAGTGGGGAGGAGAACATTGAAGTTCTACTCTTAGCAAATTTTAGTTATACAATAGAGTGTTATAAACTATAGTCACTGTAGCATACATTGGATTTTTAGACCATATTCATCTTATAAATGAAATGTTCTTATTTATATTTAATGGAAAAGTATGTAAAGTGCCTAATAGCACAAAGTAAGCACTCAGTAAATGTTAATTAACTATGTAAGTAGCATTTATTTGCATGTGTGGAAAAAATTATATCTTTTGCATATTCACCATGGTAAAATCCTAAAAATAAAAATTTCCCCCTCTCTTTTAAAGAGGACAACTGTCCCACGATCACCTTCTATTTTCTTTTCTGTTTTGTTGTCCTTCTTCCTCTTCTCTATTTTTTTCTTCCTCTTTCTTTTTTTTTTTTCATTTGAGTCTGTAAACCAGAACATGACTTAGCATGCAAACAGCTTTGTGTCACAATTAATAAATCTCTGTGTTCAGCTTAGCTGTCCTCATCCAGCGTGCAACACGAAGGGAAGGCTGCCTCAAAGTACTGATTAAGCTGCCATCGGTGTAGTTATTGCCATTAGGATAGAACATATGAAATTGCTGTGCTTTTGTATGTTGAATAGTCCAACATGGGCAGTTTTGATTGGTTCAGCCAGATACATCATTCAGCATGGTCTTTCCTTCCATTGCCTGGTTAGCATTTGATTCTTTGCTATTGAATGTTTATGATATGTAGAATTAAGTCAGTCCCAACTTTTTTTTTTTTTTGCTTGAGTTGATGTTTTTTAACCAAAATGAATAATAGTGATGTAGGAATGTCCTACCGTATAATGTGTTGTTACCTGGGTCCAAAACCCTCTAGCGTGTCTTCTTTGGAAGTAGCACTGTAGTCAACCCACAAAGAGACTGTTGAAGGAAAACAAGCCCCCAAAACAGGTACATATTTATTTACTTTTTACTTTTCATTGCATTAATTTGCACAGTTTTTACCTTTGGTTTTGCTTTTCTAAAAATGTTGGTAACATCTTTTAGGTTGACAGCTCCTTTGGATGTTATTCTTAACTTCTTATGATCTGGCTCCAAATCTCTTTCCATACTTCACACACACACACACACACACACACACACATACACACACACACACCTCCATGTACACTAAACTTCTAAACAAAGAGAGCTATTTATCTTTTTCCCACATTAGACCCTCCACTTTGACTCTTGATCTCAGCATATACAAGTCCTGCTTCTGTTTGAAAGCCTAGCTCAGTTGGTTCTTCTTTTGGCCCCAGCGGAAATAATCTCAGTGACTTCTGTTCCTCTTGCATTTTATCTGGACATCTGGGCAGTGGATTTCTTATTTGGGCTCCTGTATTACAGACCATGTTAGAGAACATGCACTTGGAGCATAAAATGTTTATCTTACTAAAATTTTTGTATTTCTTACAGAGCTGCCTTGTACTTAATGATTAAATGGTGAATGAATCAAAGAATTTGGCCTACCCTCCCTTAATATAGAGACAGGCCAAATATATGGTAGGCAGGGGGAGATGGCTATCACTGTAATTTAGTAATGCATAATCTTCCAAATAAATCATAGAGTCATCTATGTATGAGGGTGAATGTACCAGTCTGAATAGGTGACTTTGGATCTAAACTTTCTATGTAGCTACATGAAAATTGTAGTGCCCCCTCCTTTGTATCAATGTAGTAATGAAATCTTTTGCTTGTACCCAATATGAACACTGGAAAACAAAAAATATTTCCCCTGAGAACTTTGGACAGAGATCTTTAAGTCATTTAAACTAATTTTTATTGGGCCATTTTCAGAAAATACAGGTAAAATTAGGACACTTTTGTAACTATACCATGTAGATCTCTGTTATATCTTGTCTCAGTGTATCTGCAAGATAAAGATAATATCAAATCAAATATTTCTGTAGAGTTGTGAATAAAACTGTATAGCTTTGAAATCAACTTCTTTAGAAATCACTGCTTTTTTGAGTAAGGAAGTAGACTAATGATTAGGAGATCATTTCATCTGTACAAATACATTTTATTAAAGATCAGCCAGAATACATGTATTTTAGGTTTTTGTGAGGTCATCTTTAGGATTGATTCAGATTTGGCTCCAGTCAACCAAAATGCCCTGATTCTTGTCAGGAAAACTTTACTCTTTCAGCATTTTACATTATGGCCTTATGAAATTAATTTATTTTCTTTTGTTTGTAAGTAATGGACATTTTTAGCCACTTATTTATTTTCCATAAAATTAAGTTGAAAAGTTTTCAGACAATTCAAAATAACTCGCCTTTCAAACTTGAAGTATCATTATTTTAAGTGCTACCAAATAGGTGTGTTTTTGTCCAAGAGGAATATGGAAGGGATTTGAGGAGGTACCAAAAGTGTGTGATGTATGATGAATGTATATTCCTGCAGTATACTTCTTAATGTTCTGGTATTCTGATATTCTTTGACACATTTCATATAGTATTTTAAAATTATATTTCTTAGGTAGAATTCTAAAATATTTGAGTAAAATGCACAGTATCTCCAGTTCCTGAGAGATATTTATGATATACTTTGGTGACATTATATGTGTATCGTGGAAGTGGGAGGGAGGGATGTAGGTATTATTGCCATATAACCCAAAGCAGAGACGTAATTATCATTTTAAAATTTCTTACACTTATACCCTCTTTCCTATTGTGTTCTTTGGAGAAAGTTGCTGCTCTTTCGTCTGTTTTCATCACTGTGATTTCACCTTGGTGTTATTTGGGTATTTCCTACTTATTTATCTGAAAATGAATGTCTTTGTGTTGCACAGAAGCAGGGATATCAATGCCTCCATCCTCTGGTTGTCTCTGTAATAGTTTTTAACCTGGCAGAAACGGGCTTACTTTGAAGTAGCCTTGGTACTTTTTTCCTATCCGTTATCTGAAACAGGTTATACTATCCTATTGGAAAAAAATGTGTTTTTTTTAATTAATGTATTGTAGAATGTGATTTGCATGAGACAGGACATCTTTGTCAGTATGGACACACCGAAATGTTTAATTCTCTTGGTGAGAATATAGTTAGTGGCATATATCTGCTGTTGCTTTCATATCTTCTGTTGTTTTCAGTAATGGGTTAGTTATTAAGTCAAACATGGGCTGACTACTACACATCTGCCAGTTAAGGCAGATGTAAGAGCAGAATTTAGTTGTTAGGAAATGAACATACTAGTTGAGGTATTTGTAAGGGAGCTACAGAAGTGATGTTCCAAAACAGCAACAGTTTCTAAAACTCAGCGGGAAAGCAATAGCGTTGTAAGTACTGTTGATCATCATATCTCTGACATCTAGTGTCTGACACAAAGTAGATACAGGTAAATATTTGTTAAGCAAATTAAATGATTAACAAATGAAGAAAAGGAATATAGGAATAAATGCCTATTTGCTTTTCTCATCTATTGAAAAATCACTATAAAATGAATATTTAGGTAACCTTTATTCTGTTGACACCTTTAACGTACAATTAAGTTGAAGAATCTCAGTATGTAGGTTAGTTGCATTGCAGGTTATCCTATTCTATTTAAATATGGCTTTAAAAAAATTTTTTTAACATTTATTTATTATTGAAAGACACAGAGAGACAGCATGTGCATAGGAGGGGCAGAGAGAGGGGGGAGACACAGAATCTGAAGCAGGCTCCAGGCTCTGAGCTGTCAGCACAGAGCCTGACGCGGGGCTCAAACTCACAAACCACAACATCATGACCTAAGCGGAAGTCGGACGCCTTACCGACTGAGCCACCCAGGCGCCCCTAAATATGGATTTTTAAAATTAAGCATATTGTAGGATCTTTCATTAGTGGAAAAAAGTGTTAATGTTAGCATTTCTCTTTCCTGTGCACTTCTGCATTTATCTTTCAGTCTTAGGAAAACATTTTAGCCTTTTCTGATTTTCTAATTTTGGTCATTATGTAGAGAGAGCAGAGGACCTGAGAAACTTAACTGGTCACATGCTCTTGGAGCAGAGATGTAAGGTCTAGGGAATTTTTTATGACCATATCTGTGATACACATGAAATATGCTACTATTGATGGTAACATACCCAGAATAATAGCATATGAAGTAAATAAAGGTTACTGGATACAACCCAGTATGGAACCTTGATTTGAGGTTCTCTTACTATCTTTTCATACCGTGGAGCTATTAACTGCCCCATAACCGCAACCCCCCACCCCCACCCCCCCCCCACACACACACACACCCTGCATCTTCTTATACATGTGCTGTAAGAGCACTGTGCTTGTACGTTTTACTCTGGTCAGTTTCATTCTCCCTGTGATAGGGTAGAAAAAAGAAATAATAATTAATGTTACATTGTTGAGCAACACTAAATCCTTAATAAACCGCTTAGTAGCAACCTAAGCCCAGGTGGTCTAATATATATATTTTTTTAAGTAGGCTCCACACCCAACATAGGTCTTGAACTCTCGACACCAAGATCAAGAGTCTCCTGCTGGTGGTCTCATACCTTTTAGTAGTTGTCTTAACTTGAAATAAATACTTTGTAAAATTTAGGCCAAGAACAATGAAATTATTTAGGATTTAGCACAGTAAAGGCACAAAGATATTGAAGCACCTTTTCAAGTTAAATATATTTTAAAAATATTTTAGTTACCTATACAAAGGTACACTTGAGGACAATAATACTTTAACATTTGTTACCTTTCTGCTAAGATTTTTTTAATGTAAATATAAATAGAAGCTGAATCTTAAGCAGAAAGATCTTATAAGAAAACTATCACAAAGTTCAGATAGTCTCCATTCCATTCTGGAATTTTAGTTTGATTAATCAACTCTGTGAAAAACATTTTTATAGCTGTTTATGAAATAATATTAATTTTAAGAAGCCAGATGCAAAAGTATATGAGAATGACATAAACTGTGCATATACACGCATGTTTGTAATCAAAGAAAATAATGAAAAATATATTTAAATGTTTACTAGCTTATCTTCAGGTCGTAGAATTCCAATGTTTATTTTCTTTTTTATATTTTTCTGTTATTTCTGTGGTAACCATGCACAACTTTTATAATTAGAAGGATTACACTTTCTGACAAACATAATTTTGTTTTAATCTTCCAGATGGAAACTGTTGATGTGCTTCAAAAAATTTTGTGTGTATAAATGGTAATTTGATATGATGGTTTGCTTTTTTTTTTTTTTTAATAGTGCCTCACCGTTTTTATATCTTAATATAAGCTTCTGCTTGGTATCAAAAGAACCTGGGAAAAGGGGAATTAAAAGTAGTTAATTAACTTCTTTTAATTTTTTAGATGCCAGAATTCCAGAGAAGTTCAGTTCGAATCAAGAACCCGGCAAGAGTAGAAGAAATTATCTGCGGTCTTATTAAGGGAGGAGCTGCCAAACTTCAGGTGAATAATTATCAAGAAGTCTTTACTATTAAACCTTTATTTTTAATGTTCAGGCACACGCGTTCATCTCGTTTTGCTAAAATCTGGGTAATACTAAGTACTAAGCTAATTAATGCTGTGCAAAAGTATTAAGCCATTTTTTAAAAATATTTATTTATTTTGGGGGAGAGCCCAAGCAGGAGGGGGGCCGAGAGATGGAGACAGAGGATCTGAAGCAGGCTCTGTGCTGACAGCTCAGAG